TGGAGGCCTCTTTGGGCCGCCTTGGGCTTTAGGGTAGTCTTGGGTATCTCTTGGACTCTCTTGGGGCTGTCTTGTGTTCTCTTGGGGCCCTTTTTGGGCGTTTTGCCAGGCCATTGGGGCTGGTTGGGCCCTTTTGGACGCTCCGAAGACCAAGAAGACGACACACATAACAACATAATACATGAACAAACAGTTCGGATCATCATTGTGGTTTCACTCTTGATGCCCTCCTGGGGGATCTTCTTGGACCCCCTTGGGGCCGTCTTGGGAACATATTGGGTCCTTTTCTGGAGGCAGTATCGGGCCGTTTTCAAGTCCTTTTGACGCGCGCGTGTTGGGTACATATTTGGATATCTCGCAGGGCATCAGGAATGGTTTTGCGCCGTCGTGGAGCCCATCCTTTGCCATCGTGGCCGCAGGCAGGGGTTGTGCAATCTTCTGGAAAGGCAGAATCAGGGCGCCAGAGACGGGGTCACAGCAAACGGCGGGGGCACGGTTAGGGGGCTGTGGGCTCCTTAGACGGGGGTATCGGAAACGGCGGGCAGATGGAAAGGCGTAAGTTCCCCCCCCCGTAAGCCTTTTCTCACATGAAAAGGCCCGAGGTGACCGAATGGTGAAAATCGGGACGACCCTGGGATAATTGTATCGCACGTGGGAACCTAATGGGATCGTTGGGCCGGGATCTGCGACAGGCTGGGACAATCATTCTCGACGCCCCTCGCATTTTCAAAGGAACTTTCGTCACGGCCCAAGAGGCTCCCAAGAGGCCCCCAAAACGGCCCAAGAGGGCCCGAAGACGGCCCAAGAGGCGCCAAAGACGGCCCAAGAGGGCCCCAAGACGGCCCCAAGAGGGGGACCACGAACCGAAAAGTCTAGCCTTTCGCCCCAAGACGCTCCCAGGAGGCCCCAAGAGCCCCCCAAGAAGCCCCAAGAGGCCCCAAAGAGGCGTCCCAAGAGGCCACAAGAGGCCAAGAGCATGGATTTCTTGAGGGGAAAGGTGCATTTTTAGCATATGTGGCTTTTCGGCTTTCACGGCGCTGACGACGGCCCAAGAGGCCCCCAAGACCGCCCCAAGACGGCCCAAGACGCTCCCAAGAGGCCCCCCAAACGGCCCAGGAGGGCCCGAAGACGGCCCCGGAGGCGCCCAAGACGGCCTAAGAGGGCCCCAAGACGGCCCCAAGAGGGGGACCACCAAGCGAAAAGTCTCGCCCCAAGAAGCTCCCAGGAGGCTCCCAGAGCCCCCCAAGAAGCCCCAAGAGGCCCCCAAGAGGTTCCCAAGATGCCTCCAAAAGGGCTCCAAAAGGGCCCCAATAGGACTCCCAAGAAGGCCCAGAAACGCCAAATGGAGAGCGATCGGTAACGCAAGAAGCTCTTCACACCAAGGCTCCCAATAGCGAACGGTGACGTAAACAAGCTGATAAGATCAAGGCTTCCAGCAGGGAGCAGTGACGTAGCAAGTTCCTGACGCAAAAGGCCCAGCCAAGGCTCAGGAACGGGCGGCAACGCAACAATCTCTGAACATCAAGGCTCCCATGAGCGAGGGGTGACGTAACAAGCTCTCAACGCCAAGGCTCCCGGTACGAACGGTGGCGTGAGTAATTTCGGTTTCTCTTTCTGAAGCGCTCTTTCCGTTTCTGTGCCGGGCCATGTAACGAAAAGAGCGAGATATGAGTGATGACGTTTTGGTGTGGGCGAAGCCCTAAAGGGAGGGGTTCCAGGGGAGGGGGGTAGCGCGAGCGAATGAGTGTTAATGGCCGTTTTCGGGTTTTCCCTAGGGTTTTTGTATGTTTTTCGGGTTCTCCCCTTTTCCGTCCTAGAAGAGCCCAAGACCGCCCAAGACAGCCCCAAGACGTCCCAAGAGGCCTCCCAGACGCCCCAAGGGGCGCCCAAGAGGCGTCCCAAGAGGGCCCCGTATTCCGAAGGGAAACGTGCATTTTTAGCATATACGGCTATTCGGCTCTCACGGCGTTGGCTACGGCCCAAGGGGCCCCCCAGACCGCCCCAAGACGGCCCAAGAGGCTCCCAAGAGGCCCCCAAAACGGCTTAAGAGGGCGCCCAGACGGTCCAAGAGGCGCCCAAGACGGCCAAAGAGGGCCCCAAGACGTCCCCAAGAGGGGGACCACGAACCGAAGAGTCTAGCCTAGCCTTTCGCCCCAAGGCTTCCCCCAGGAGGCCCCAAGAGCCCCCAAAGAAGCCCCAAGAGGTCCCCAAGAGGCGTCCCAAGAGGCCACCAGGAAGCCATAAGGATGGATTTCCGATGGGAAAAGTACATGTTTAGCATGCGCGGCTTTTCGGCTTTCACTGCGTTGAAGACGCTCCAAGAGGCTCCCAAGACCGCTCCAGGACGGCCCAAGACGCTCCCAAGAGGCCCCCAAAACGGCCCAAGAGGGCCCGAAGACGGCCCACGAGGCGCCCAAGACGGCCCAAGAGGGCCCCAAGACGGCCCCAAGAGGGGGACCACGAAGCGGACAGTCTAGCCTTTCGCCCCAAGAAGCTCCCAGGAGGGTGACGTAAACAAGCTGATAAGACCAAGGCTCCCAGCAGGGAGCAGTGACGTAGCAAGTTCCTGGCGCAAAAGGCCCAGCCAAGGCTCTGGAACGGGCGGCAACGCAACAATCTCTGAACACCAAGGCTCCCAAGAGTACGGGGTGACGTAACAAGCTCTCAACGCCAAGGCTCCCGGTACGATCGGCGGTGTGAGTAATTTCGGCTTCTGTTTCTGACGCGCTCTTTCCGTTTCTGTGCCGGGCCATGTAACGGAAAGAGCGAGGTACGAGTGACGACGTCCTGGTGTGGGCAAAGCCCGTTGTGTGTTGGGCGAAGCCCAAAAGGGGGAGGTTCCAGGGGGAGTGGGTAGCGCGAGCGAATGAGTGTTAATGGCCGTTTTCGGGTTTTCCCTCGGGTTTTTGCATGTTTTTCGGGTTCCCCCCCCAAGACGGCCCAAGAGCGCTCCAAGAGAGCCCAAGACCGCCCAAGACGGCCCAAGAGGCCCCCAAGAGGCCCCCAAGAGGCGCCCAAGGGGCGTCCCAAGAGGGTCCCAAGAGGCCAGCATCTTCGATTTTCTCTAGGGAAACGTGCATTTTTAGCACGTACGGTTTGTAGGCTTTCACGGCGTTGACGACGGCCCAAGAGGCCCCCAAGACCGCCCCAAGACGGCCCAAGAGGCTCCCAAGAGGCCCCCAAAACGGCCCAAGAGGGCCCCAAGACGGCCCAAGAGGCGCCCAGGACGGCCCAAGAGGGCCCCACGACGGCCCACGAGGGGGACCACGAACCGAAAAGTCTAGCCTTTCGTCCCAAGACGCTCCCAGGAGGCCCAAGAGGCCCCCAAGAAACCCCAAGAGGCCCCCAAGAGGCGTCCCATGAGGCCACCAGGATGCCAAAATCTTAGATTTTCTTTGGGACATCGTGCAATGTTTGCACATAGCGGCTTTTTGGCTTTCACGGCGTTGACGACGGCCCAAGAGGCCCCCAAGACCGCTCCAAGACGGCCCAAGAGGCTCCCAAGAGGCCCCCCCAAACGGCCCAAGAGGGCCCCCAGACGGCCCAAGAGGCGCCCAAGACGGCCCAAGAGGGCCCCAAGACGACCCTACGAGGGGGACCACGAACTAAAAAGTTTAGCCTTTCGCCCTAAGAAGCTCCCAGGAGGCCCCCAGAGCCCCCCAAGAAGCCCCAAGAGGCCCCCAAGAGGCGTCCCATGAGGCCTCCAAAAGGGCTCCAAAAGGGCCCCGATAGGACTGCCAAGAAGGCCCAGAGACGCCAAATAGAGAGCGATCGGTAACGCAAAACGCTCTTCACACCAAGGCTCCCAAGAGCGAACGGTGACGGTAACAAGCTGATAAGACCAAGGCTCCTAGCATAGCGGTGACGTAACAAGTTCCTGACACCAAGGCCTAACCAAGGCTCAGGAACGGGCGGCAACGCAACAATCTCTGAACACCAAGGCTCCCAAGAGCGAGGGGTGACGTAACAAGCTCTCAACGTCAAGGCTCCCGGTACGAACGGTGGCGTGAGTAATTTCGGTTTCTCTTTCTGAAGCGCTCTTTCCGTTTCTGTGCTGGGCCATGTAACGGAAAGAGCGAGGTACGCGTGACGACGTCTTGGTGTGGGCGAAGCCCTAAAGGGGGGGGGGTCCAGGGCGGGTGGGTAGCGCGAACGAATGAGTGTTAATGGCCGTTTTCGAGTTTTCCGTTGGTTTTTGCATGTGTGTCGGGTTCCCCTCCAAGACGGCCCAAGAGCGCTCCAAGAGAGCCCAAGACCGCCCAAAACGGCCCAAGAGGCCCCCAAGAGGCCCCCAAGAGGCGCCCAAGGGGCGTCCCAAGAGGGCCCCAAGATGCCAAAATCTTTGATTTTCTCAAGGGAAACGTGCCTTTTTAGCACGTACGGCTTTTTGGTTTCCACGGCGTTGACGACGGCCCAAGAGGCCCCCAAGACCGCCCCAAGACGGCCCAAGAGGCCCCCAAGAGGCCCCCCAAGACGGCCCAAGAGGGCCCCCAGACGGCCCAAGAGGCGCCCAGGACGGCCCAAGAGGGCCCAAAGACGGCCCACGAGGGGGACCACGAACCAAAAAGTTTAGCCTTTCGCCCCAAGACGCTCCCAGGAGGCCCCAAGAGCCCCCCAAGAAGCCTCAAGAGGTCCCCCTAGAGGCGTCCCAAGAGGCCACCAGGATGCCAAACTCATGGATTTCCCAAGGAAAAAGTACATTTTCAGCATACACGGCTTTTCTGCTGCCACGGCGCTGCAGACGGTCCAAGAGGCCCCCAAGACCAACGGGTAACCCAAGACGGCCCAAGAGGCTCCCAAGAGGCCCCCCAAACGGCCCAAGAGGGCCCCCAGACGGCCCAAGAGGCGCCCAAGACGCCCCAAGAGGGCCCCAAGACGGCCCCAAGAGGGGGACCACGAAGTGGTTGTGCGTCGCACGTGATTGCTTTGAGGTTCTTTAGATGTTGCAGCCCTCCAGCAGCCCCCCATATCGCTGCTGGGGCTCAAGCTTTTCAGCGGGTATGCGAGCCTACCCGACCAGCGCGATAGGCACCGTGGCCACGTTCCTGGCCGGGTTCGTGGCGCACGACGTGCTGGGGCCCGCGCTGGTGCACGAGGCGAGCGGCCTGTCTCCGCGCAGCGGGCCTGGCCACGAGCTGGAGGGCAGCTCGACGAGCAGCACCTCCACGAGCACCAGCATCGTGCTGGCTTGCTCGTGCCCGGCGCCGCCGGCGCCGAGAGGCCCCAGGCCGGCGCCGCTTCGAGTGGCGGGCGCGGGGTTCGGCGCGACCGTGGAGGTGCCGCTTGCCGTGGTGCTGGGCGGCGGGCCGCTGGCGACGCTGGCCGCTGCTGCTGGCTGCTGGAGCCGAGTGGAGGACCGAGCAGTGGCACGCAAGGTGCTCGAGCCGATAGGTGAAGCTCGGATCCACCTGGCCTAGTTCCAGTGACGATGGCTGACGACAATATTTGCCCTGGGCTCAGGGTGCTGGTGACGTACAGTGACGACCCGGGCTGGACGCACGAACGAGTATTAGTGTGGCCTCGCAATGAGGCTCGCACGAGTTGGCAGATCTACACGCCTGGCAATGATTTATACGCCGAGGACTTCGGCGACTACGCCTCGCTCATCCCGATGACGGGGCGGAGGCGGCATCCGCCGGGCGTCAGAAACGTGGTGGCGTTCAACTGGGAGCTGCAGGCGGCTGAGTGGGTCTCGCTCATCAAACGCGGTCGAGGCGAAGCCGTCCTCGAACACGGGCTGCCAGCGAACGGCTGGTGGGCCGGCGCTGGCCAGGACTGGCGCGGAGGCAGGCTGGACATCCCCGCGCCGACGGCAGTGGAGGTCCCTCGCGCACGGCGCCGCCTGCGCAAGAAGGGCGCGGAGGTGCAGACCGACCTCCCTGCGCTCGGTGACGGAAGCCCGCCGCCCCCGCCGCCGCTCTCGGAGCGGCCGCCAGGATCGTGGGTGCGTTGCTCCTTCGAGGACAGCGACTTCGGCCAGATGGTGCCCCTTCTCAGCGGCTGCCATCCTGCGAGGCCGCTACGGGCTCGACAAGGATGAGATGGGCGAGTGGCGGCTCATAGAATATGTGCAGGACGATCAGGCCGACAGCTGGCGAGACGACAAGCTGGTGGCGGCGGATCGGCAGCGGCCACCCCGAGGCGCCCTTGGGGATCGGCTCTTCGGCGGCGGCGGAGGCGGTACCGCAACGCCCCCTGGGGGGCCCGCGGTCGCGGCCGTCGCATCTGGCACTGGCGAGGAGCAGGCCGAGGATCTGCGCGCGTGCTGGATCGACGTTGACGAGACAGGCTCGAGGTTCAAGGAATGGCGCAAGGTGGTGCAGGAGAGCACGCAGGAGGTGCTCTCGGACTCGAGCCTGCGCGGGCCGCCTGCTTGCCTGGAGGTGTGCCGCAAGATGTATCGTCACGGCGGCACGCCCAAGATCTGGTTCCAGGAGTGGTGCAAGGAGACAGGGATCTCTCGACGGGATCGCGCATACCACGAGGTGCAAACGCTCATCGAGTGTTTGTACCTCACGGGCACCTACGACCAGGTGAACATGGGAGCGCTGGCGTCGCTGGAAGTGATCGCCCGCCGGCTGCTGCAGTATACGGAGGCATACGCGCACGGTGCGGACCACGCGAACTGGGCGGCGGCGAAGCACCCGGCGGGGACGACGAACCCGCTGGACCTGGTGCCCGAGGCGCTGCGGAGCTACGCCAGCCGGCTGAGCAAGGAGGAGCACGAGCTGGAGGCGCTGCGGGCGCGGGCGAAGACGCCTGCGGCCTTTTCGGCTGAGGGCGGTCGCGGCGCTGCGGCTGCCGCGGTGGGCGCTGGCGGCTTGCCGCTCGGAGGCGGCGCTGGAGGTGACGGAGCTGGAGATGCTGCTGATGCTGGCCGTGGCCGTGGCCGAGGCCGAGGGCGAGGCGGGCGGGGCCGTGGCACCCGCCCGCCGGACTCATGACGTCCTTGGCGGAGGGGGGCGGGCGCCCGACCGCTCCCTGCAGATCGAGGGGCACCAGTGGGCTACGCGGCGCTTCCTTTTTGCCGCTGGCCCACCTGAGCGAGCTGCCTCCCGAGTGGTGCGAGGGGCTCAGCGCGGCGCAGCGCCGGCGCTGGCTTCGGGGCGGCAACGCTGCTTGCGAAAGCTTGAATTACTTGCATGGAGGCATCCACCGAGACGATCGGGTACCAGCGAGCTTGACCAGCCAGATGAAGATGTATGCTATTTCGGCGGACGTGCAGCAGCGCGTCTTCTCGGCGGCTCGCCGATGGATAGACGTTGACAGCGCCGTCAGTGAGGAGGAGGCCCTTGCCAGGCTTCTTAAGGGCAAGGCGGGGTATGCCCCCCTTGGCTCGACCAGCACGGGCTCCTACGAGTACTCGCGGGTGAGCTTGCCAGACAGCGTCGTCGACGCGCCGTTTCTGACCACCATGCTCCCTGCGCAGGCAAAGCAATACCTCGAGGAGTTTGCTTCCAGGATGCTGCTGCCGCCTCGGGAAGCAGCCCTAATACGAGAACTCGATGGGCTTCCTGGTTGTCACGCCGACCCTCTGTTGCTGCAACGGCAGCGCAGCTATGGGAAGTTCGCGCGGCGAGCGCTCTCGATAGGTCTAGTCACTTTGACACGGAGGCCTAAGAGTGTGCTTGGATTATTTTTTTGTGAAGAAGAAGGATGTGGCTCGCCTTCGCCTCATCGTCGACTGCAGGCGGAGCAACGCCCTGTTCCGCCCCCCTCCTGGGGTCGACTTGCTGTCGGGCGAGGGGCTCGGCCGCATAGAGATGCCCATCATGGAGGTCTCCGACTTCACCGGGCTCTGCGCGGTGCTTGGCGTGGGCGACGTTGCCGACTGCTTCCACAGGATGAAGCTGCAGGGCGACATCAGGCACTATTTGTGCTGGCCGCCGCTGGATGCTGCTTTGACTGGAGAGGCGCTGGTCGAAGGGCGCCCTGTGCACGCTGGCGAGCAGGTTTGGCCGATGAGCCAGAGCCTGCCGATGGGCTTTTCGTGGTCCTTGTACTTCGCCCGGGCCGCCAACCAGTGCAGGCTCGATCGACAGCCGTCGTTAGCGGGTAGCCTGCGTCTGAGCGATCGCGGGCCGCCGCTTGTCCTTGGACAAGGCGCCGCGGGCTCGGAGCTGGGCCACTACATGTGCGTCGACAGTGCTGGCGTGATTGGTTTCGACGCAGCGCGTGTGACATGCGCGCTGCAGGAGGCCCAGCGTGACTTCGATGGCGATCACCTGAAGTTCCACGAGGTGGTCGCACCCTGGGCGGCTATCTCGACGGCAGGCGCCGAGCGACCCGCCCTACTGACGAGGGGTTCGCCATGGTGCGCAAGGGGTTGAGGTGCCTGTTGAGGAGACGCAAGGTTGCCGGCTGGCAGCTGGAGATGGTGCTGGGCCACATGACCTTCATGGCCCTGGTTCGCCGCGAAGTGTTGTCAATCTTCCACCCGGTCTACGCTTTTGTGGCGCAAAGCTACCACACCTTCTCCGTGCTGTGGCCCACCGTGCGCGATGAGTTGAACTGCTACCTGGGCATCGTGGTGATGCTGGAGTCGAGCTGGACCAGGCCGTGGACGCCAGTGGTCTACTCTTCCGACGCCAGCCTGCACGGCTACGGCGTTGCGGAAGCCTGCTTCGGGACCGAGACGGTGGCGGAGATTGGCCGCGTTTCGGAGCTGGCGCGGTGGCGGCTGGGTGCTGGGCTGGCGAGGCAGCATGCCTTCGAGTGCGCTGGCTTCCTCTTGGACCGCGAGACCGGCGAGGTCGTCCGAGATGAGGCGGGGGCCCCGAAGCGGCTGGACGCCGAGCTCCAGCGCGTGCTGGCCAGCGAGCGCTGGGAGCTGGACCCGAGCTTCCACGAGGTGGCCAGCTGGCTCCTGCACGACTCGCATTGGGCCACGGTCATGGCCGACCGATGGGCCTTCGCCGATGATATCTTTAGACTCGAGACACGAGCGCTGGTGAAGGCTGCAGCTCGTACCGCGCACTGTCAGCCTGTAAAGGAATGCCGCTCTCTTTCGTTAGGAGATAATCTCGCTGTCGTGTTGTGTTTTTTTGCAGGTTCAGGTCCAGGGATTTCCGGCTTCTAATTCAGGTCCGCCGCTTCGCTGCCCTGTGCCTTGCTAGAGACATCAAGTTTGTTGTTCGTTGGATTCCGTCTGGGTTCAAGTCTGGCGACGAGGGAAGTCGAAGGTTCGATCCAGCTTATGATGCCCAGAAGTCCCTCGTTACCCATCTTGGCTCGAACTCGTTGTCACCCCAGGTTCCTGCGAGCCCTGCCAATGCTCCCGCGGCGGGAGCCCGTGGCAGGAGAGGGCAGTCGGCGGCGGACGCTGAGCCGAACTGCCGTGCCGACGCCAGCCGCCCCGCTCGAGACGGGCCGCAGGCGGGCGCGGGCGCTGAGCAGCACTGGTCGCCGACTGGAGTCAGGGGGGCCGCCGCCGGCGCAGAGGTCCCGCACGCTGGACCAGAGCCGCGGGCTGGCCGCGAGGCTGGTGCTCGAGGGCGCTGCCCGGCCGCCGCAGCAGAGCTCAGTAGAAGCTTGCTTGCGGCTGAGCCCCGACGAGCCGCGCCAGGCCGGCAAGGCCATTGCAGGCCACGGGGTTGCCGAGGTCGAGGCGGAGAGCGAGAGCGTCGAGAGCAGCGACGCCGAGGAGCCGCCGGCTGCCGCGCGCCCCCGAAGGCGTCTGGAGACGCGCGGGAAGGCGCGGATCAGGAAGGCGATCGAGGTGTTCGAGACCGCAGAGTCGGGCAGGGACGACGTGAAGCTGGGCATCAGCTACCTCGAGAAGAGATCGGTGGGCGCAGGCACCTTGGAGACCTACCGCCAGTGCGTGCTCGCATTCTGCGTCTGGGCCCGCTGCTGCCTCACGGCCCTGCCCGAGCTCAAGGAGCTGGGCGGCCAGCTGGTCGAATACATGAACGAGGAGTTCTTGAAGGGCGTCAAGGCCTGGCGGGGCGAGAAGCTGCTCGCTGGGCTGATGTTCTTCTACCCGGACTTCGGCCGCCTGGGCGGGCTGCGTCTACCGAGGTCTTGGCGCTGCCTGAAAGGGTGGAAGAAGCTTTCACCATCTCGATCTCGGAAGCCCTTGGTGTTCGCGATCTGGGCGGCGTTGGCAGTGGAACTCTGCCGCCTGGGGGCGCCTCTAGTAGGCGCGATGGTGCTAATCATGGTGGAGTGCTACCTTCGGCCAGGAGAGATGCTGAGCCTCACGAGCGATTCATTTCTGGCGCCGACGGAGCATGCAGTGCAGAACTGGGTTGTATGGCTGTTTCCAGAGGCTGGGGTGGCTCGGAGCAAGGTGGGGTCAGCGGACGATACCATCCCTTGCGATTCAGGACGTTGCCCGTGGATGTGTCACATCTTCAAGGCCTTGAAGGGTCGTCAGTCATCCCGGCCCCTCCTGGACTTGAGCTACCCGCAGTTCCTGCGCTTCTTCCGGAGAGCGGCCACGAACATCGGAGCCGACGTCGTCCCACACCAAGGCCGGCACAGCGGAGCATCGCTGGATCGGGCAACGGGACGACGCTCTCTGGAAGAGGTGCAGAAAAGAGGGCGATGGGCGGCGATGAGTTCGGTGAAGAGATACGAAAAGTCAGGACGACCGAACGAGAGTTGGGAGAAGCTGGGCGACGCCTCCAAGGCGCACTGCGCCGCGGCGGCGAAGCTGCTGCAGGAGGTGCTGATGCTGGGACGGCCCGCGCCTGCGCCGCCGTACGGCGGCCGCGAGGGCTCTCGCGGGCTCCGCTGAGCTCGCAACTGGCCGCTGTTTCTGCGCCGTATCTGCTGGATCTTTTTTCTGGTGGAGGCGGAGTCGGAGGCTTTGCCGCGCGACTTGGTTTCAATTCAGTGTCGTTGGACCTGCGAAATGGGGGGGATCAGGATGTGCGCAGTGCCAATAATCTAGATGCGATTCTCGTCCATTTTAAGGCTGGGCTCATCAATGCAGTCATGTTGGCGCCTCCTTGTTCTTCGTTCTCTCTGGCTCGTAACAAATATCCTGTCAGAAGTGCGCAATATCCAGAGGGTTTGCCATCCCTGCGTCCAACCGACCAGACTACGGTCAGCATAGGTAATCTCTGTTAGCGTGTGGCTGTGTACATCGCTCGGTTGTGCCATGTTTTCGGAGTGCCGTTCGCGTTGGAGAACCCTCAGACTTCGTACATGTGGCGATGCCAAGATATCATGAAGCATGTTTTGAGTTGTAGCCGAACTCTGGATCTGCATCAGTGCGCCTTCGGATCCAGGTGGCGGAAAGCGACCAAGCTGGCCCTGGGATGTGTCACGGAGGCGGGAGATTTCGCCTTAACCTACCCGGGGGCTCTGCGTTGCCGAGGCAAACACGGATATTGTTCCTTCAGGCCTGGCCATAAACATGTTGTCTTGGAGGGAAAGGTTATGATTTAGAGAGCCGCTGCGTACCCCTTTCGCTTCGCTCGCTGGCTGTGCACTGTCTTGCTCGACTTGTGAGGTGTGCCGTTTGCATGCGGCAAATCATCTCTCCTCACATGCAGAGGTTGACGCCTTCCCCGACACGCGTTGAATGGTCTATGCCGCTACGCTGAGAACTTCGGCTTTGCGAAAATGTTGGAGTGTGTTCGCCGTTTGCACGTCTCGATAACCTTGTCGCGACCACATGGTATCAGAGTTCACCACGGAAAAGACGTCAGAGCATGGTTGTGCGTCGCACGTGATTGCTTTGAGGTTCTTTAGATGTTGCAGCCTTCCAGCAGCCCCCCATATCGCTGCTGGGGCTCAAGCTTTCCCACCCTCAGCCACCCTGGACCTGCCCTATATAGTGCACACCCCTTTTAACCTTCTTCACTCCCTCCTCTCGTAAGGAGTGTGTTCGCCGTTTGCACGTCTCGATAACCTGGTCGCGACCATATGGTATCAGAGTTCACCACGGAAAAGACGTCAGAGCACGGACAGTCTAGCCTTTCGCCCCAAGAAGCTCCCAGGAGGCCCCCACAGCCCCCCAAGAAACCCCCAGAGGCCCCCAAGAGGTTCCCAAGAGGCCTCCAAAAGGGCCCCAAAAGGGCCCCAATAGGACTCCCAAGGAGGCCCAGAGACGCCAAATAGAGAGCGATCGGTAACGCAAAAAGCTCTTCACACCAAGGCTCCCAATAGCGAACGGTGACGGTAACAAGCTCATGAGACCAAGGCTCCCAGCAGAGAGCGGTGACGTAACACGTTCCTGACACCAAGGCCCAGCCAAGGCTCAGGAACGGGCGGCAACGCAACAATCTCTGAACACCAAGGCTCCCAAGAGCGAGGGGTGACGTAACAAGCTCTCAACGCCAAGGCTCCCGGCACGAACGGTAGTGTGAGTCATGTCAGTTTCTGCTTCTGAAGCGCTCTTTCCGTTTCTGTGCCGGGCCATGTAACGGAAAGAGCGAGGTACGAATGATGACGTTGTGTGTTGGGCGAAGCCCCTTAAGGGGGGTTCCAGGGGGGGCGTACGGGGAGGGGATGGGTTGAATTGCCGTTCTGGTGGTTTCCCCAAGGGTTTTTGCATATTTTTCGGGTTCCACTTATTTTCCGTCCCAGAAGAGCCCAAGACCGCCCAGGACAGCCCCAAGACTTTCCAAGAGGCCTCCAAGACACCCCAAGAGGCGGCCAAGAGGCGTCCCAAGAGGGCCCCCAAGAGGCCAAAATCATGGAATTCCCATGGGGAAATGAATATCTTTAGCATATACGGTTTTTCGGCTTTCGCGGCGTTGACGACGGCCCAAGAGGCCCCCAAGACCGCCCCAAGACAGCCCAAGAGCCTCCCAAGAGGCCCCCCAAACGGCCCAAGAGGGCCCAAGACGGCCCCAGAGGCGCCCAAGACAGCCCAAGACGGCCCCAAGAGGGGGACCACGAACCGAAGAGTCTAGCCTTGCGCCCCAAGACGCGCCCAGGAGGCCCCAAGAGCCCCCCAAGAAGCCCCAATAGGCCCCCAAGAGGCGTCCCAAGAGGCCACCAGGAGGCCCAAATCATGTAATTCCGATGGGAAAAAGGTATATTTTTAGCATGCCCGGCGTTGAGGCTTTCACGGCGTTGCAGACGGCCCAAGAGGCCCCCAAGACCGCCCCAAGACGGCCCAAGAGGCCCCCAAGAGGCCCCCCAAACGGCCCAAGAGAGCGCCAAGACGGCCCAAGAGGCGCCCAAGACGGCCCAAGAGGGCTCCAAGACGGCCCCAGAAGGGGGACCACGAACCCGAAAAGTCCAGCCTTTCGCCCCAAGACGCGCCCAGGAGGCCCCCACAGCCCCCCAAGAAGCCCCAAGAGGCCGCCAAGAGGCCCCCAAGAGGCCCCCAAAAGGGCTCCAAAAGGGCCCCAACAGGACTCCCAAGAAGGCCCAGAGTCGCCAAATAAAGAGCGATCGGTGTTGCAAAAAGCTCTTCACACCAAGGCTCCCAAGAGCGAACGGTGACGGTAACAAGCTGATAAGACCAAGGCTCCCAGCAGGGAGCGATGACGTAGCAAGTTCTTGACACCAAGGCCCAGCCAAGGCTCAGGAACGGGCGGCAACGCAACAATCTCTGAACATCAAGGCTCCCAAGAGCGACGGGTGACGTAACAAGCTCTCAACGCCCAGGCTCCCGGTACGAACGGTGGTGTGAGTGATTCCGGTTTCTGTTTCCGAAGCGCTCTTTCCGTTTTTGTGCCGGGCCATGCAACGGAAAGAGCGAGGTACAAATGATGACGTTGTGTGTTGGGCGAAGCTCCTTAAGGGGGGTTCCAGGGGGGGACGCACCGCGTACACATGGGTGACGGAAAGAGCGAGGTACGAGCGAGTGACGTTGAGTTTGGGCGAAGCCCTTCTTAGGGGGGTGGGGGGGGGGGGGGGCGAGGCGCGGAGGGGGGGTCTAATGGCTCTATTTTGGGGGGGGTCCCCTCTGGTTTTTGCATGTTTTTCGGATTCTCCCTCCAGACGGCCGAAGAGCGCTCCAAGAGAGCCCAAGACCGCCCAAGACGGCCCAAGAGGCTCCTGAGAGGCCCCCAAGAGGCGCCCAAGGGGCGTCCCAAGAGGGGCCCAAGAGGCCAAACTCATCGATTTTCCAAAGACAAACGTATATTTTTAGCATCTACGGTTTTTCTAGGGGAGTGGAGCGCCAAAGGAAAAGTGTTGACTGAGCGGTCTCTCCCCGAGAGCTCCTGGACAGCGTTTCCTAGCATGTCGAAGCCACGCAGAAGAAAGGAGGAGGAGGAGGAAGAGGAGGAGGAGGGGGAGGAGGAGGAGGAGGAGGAGGAGGAGGAGGAGGAGGAGGAGAGGAGGAGGAGGAGGAGAGAGGAGGAAGAGAGGAGGAAGAAGTGGAGGAGGAGGGCAACGAGGAGGAGGGAGAGCGGAGGAAGAGATAAATATAGGAGAGGAGCAGAGGAGTTGTTATCCCCAAGATGGCCCAACATGGCTCCAAGATCGCTCCCAAGATGGCCTCCACGATCCAAGATCGCTCCCAAGATGGCCTCCACGATGGTTCAAAACAGCCCAACATGCCTGAGGATGGCTCCCAATGTGCTCAAAGAGGCCCGAAAACTGGGGGCGTGAACGCAAAGCGTATGATATTGTGTCTGATTATTGGTACATATGTGTGGGTACGCGAAGCGTCCTGGATATGATCAAGTGCAAGAATACCCGACTTATGGGAAGCAAGCAACAAGCTTTTGAGAGTTCGTTATCTCTGTCTCGCCGCCGTCGCTGCTCCTGTAGCTTCGAACGAAGGTCAGTCGAATGAGTGCGGCCCTGAGGCCGCCTAAAACGTCATCCCCAGTGTGTGTCGTGGGGACTATTTACCTGGTCTCTGCAAACGAGACACAAACTAACGCAACCTTCGCGCAACTATATCTACCTGAACGTTCTAGAACAGGCGGCAACCCACAGCCATCAAGAGCATTGCAGCAATGCATGCGCGGTGGCGCGATTGGCAACACCACGTCGCCAGGCCTACCTGTGGAATTCGAAGCCGCTCCTGGGGTAAAGTCCCAGCCGAAGTTTAATTAGATTTGAGCGGCCTTGCTTCGCCCTACCACCCTGGCAATTATTCGACACCGCGGGGGTCATCTGGCTCTGTAAATAGCAGCCGCACACGATGCAAATGGTGACCGACTTGTAAGACCTCATCGTGTGAGTAGGGTTCACGGCGTGGTAGATATGTTGCCAGTGCCCCTCAGGTGGCGGACCATCGATGAACGTATGGTGGCCCCACGGCGCATTCGCAGGCCAGCCATCTGCGTTGGCTTGGGCTGGGGCTGGGGGCAGCGCGGCAGGCAGCCTGGCAGGCCCTGCGGCAGGACTTGGCGCACCACCATCAGAGTCACTCCCGAAGTCCACGAACGAATCCTCTTCATCACTGTGACCATCGTCAGGCTGGTCAGGCTGAGCAGCAGGGGCAGGAGCACCGTCCTCAAGCGGAGCGTCAGCACCAGCAGGAAGCCACGGGCGACCAGCGCGATGGAGAAGAGCCGCGCAAGGCCCTGCCCGCTCACGGACTCCACGAAACATGATGCGGTATGGTTGAGGAGAGCGGCTGCGGTTGCCGCGGTTGCCATCCGAAGCCATTGTCGCGAGAGTGAGCAGAGAAACACCGTCCTGGCCTCACAACGAATAGCGACTGCTAGAGTCAAAATGACTGCGGACAGCAGCTGGAATTGTAAGGTTTTGGCAGGTTTTGGATGGGGAGTGGGAAGAGGAGAAGGAGTAGGAGGAGGAGTCGAAGGATGGCGGGGAGGATGAAACGGCAGACGGGGGCCACGGGTAGCGGGTAGT